CGCCCCCGCCCCCCGCCCCCCACGCGGACGCCGCCCGGGCCGCTTTCCTTAGGTCTGAGTGCGTCTCGTTCTCTGCAGGAGCCTCTGCTTCCCCGCTGAAGATCCTCTGCACCCCAGAGGGGATCCGACTGCAGTGCTTCCTGAAGTATTACAGCGAAGCCATGAAGGCGAACTGGTATCACAAGTAAGTGCACAGGCCACGGCTGCGGCCGAGCCGCGGACAAGGGCGGCGCCCAAGCTCTCCCGCTTCGTCGTCCTGGAAAACGATGCCGACCTTTGGCTCGGGGCCGGGGGCCATTACGGCAGTGGGGGGCCCAGGAGAAGGAGGAAGGTACAGAGCTGCCCGGAGTCGGCAGCGACACGTCTGCTCCGTCTCGGTTTGGCCAAGGTGGCTCTGCCGGTGACACGTGTGGCACCCGGGACCCAGCAGAGAGCCAGTGGGAGATGATCTGGAGCCCAGTAGGTTGAATAAAACCAGCTCCACACTAAAGTCACGGAGGAGAGGGAGCAGATCCAGCCCGCGTAAACGGCGGGTGTCCTGTGTCCTGCGTCCTGCGTCCTGTTCACGGCTCCAGTGCTTCTCCGGGCGGGGTCACTGTTAAGACACCCGAGACCTTCGTGACTGTCACACCCACCACGAGTCCTGCACTCAGCCCCGAGGGGTCTGGCTCCTTCCTACCCACCCCCACGCGCATCTCTGAAACACCCCTCCAAGCAGCGCGTCTCTGAGGAAAACAGGACCATGTCCCTGGGTCCCCCCAGGTCCCCAGGTGTAACCACAGGGGGTGGACGCAGGCAGATGGAGCAGCAGCCTACTGCCCTCTGGTCCATCCCTACCCCAGCCTGAGGCCACGGCGACATTCTTGGGTTAGTTCTCGGTGGGTCAGCATGCCAGCACCTCAGGCCCCTCCACACGCTGCCGCTGGCGCCCGCGTCACGCCCGCTGAGGCCCTGCTTCTCCGATCGCCGCGGTTACGGTTGTCCCCACGGCGTCACTGGGGGTGGTGGCCGAGCTCCAGAGCACCTGGAAGCACTAACCGGCGGCGTCCTGGGCTTCCTGCGATGACATCTCGCCATGCTGTGCTGTGTCTCGGAGGTTGTGCTTGGCGCGTGGGACCAGAGGCATGTCGAGTCTTGGGGCGTCCGAGCTTGGCACCTGTGCTTAGGCAGGGCAGCACCCCCACGTCCGCTGGGGTGGTCACAGTCCCACACGGAGGGGTTCGTCCGGGGCGGGTCAGGCAGTGTCTTTTTATAAAGGATTCCAGGAACGGCGGCTTCTGACGGAAGCTCTGGCGCCCTTTGGGGTATGTGGCTTATAAGGATCTGGTTTTTAGACAAATGAGCAAAGCGAAGT